GGACTCACCTTCGGAGAGGTCGCACTCGAAGGTGATTTCGAACTCCCAGCCGAGGCCTTTGCAAATTTCTTTTCTTTCCTACCCCTAGATCGCTCCACACTGTTTTGCAGCTTTGGGGGCCACGCGGCACAGGGCAATACGCCACGCCCAGCGATTTTTTTTCAGGGGCGGGCCGCATTGGACAGACCAGTGGCAGCGATTTTTTTTCAGGGGCGGGCCGCATTGGACAGACCAATGGGCCGGATGTGGCCCGCGGGCCGTAGTTTGCCCACCCCTGAACTAGGAGATGTGAGTTCTAGTCCCACTCTAGGCATGAAAACTGACTAGGTGACTTTAGCCCAATCACTCTTAGCCCAACTCACCTCACATGGTTATTATTGTGGGATAAAAGGAGGAGGAAGGTGTATTGAGTATGTTCACCACTTTGATTTATTTAAAAAAAAATAAAGGCAGAATTTTAAAAAATCTAAAAAAAAATGTGTGCATCTGAGCATGTAAAAAATGCCTTCCATAATCTGAATACTCCTCTTTCCATCTTCCCTCTATTCTTCCCCTTCTTTTTTTCTCTGTCTACATACTGTTCTCAAATTTCTCACTTAACTGCCTGGATTAGAAGTGGCTAATCCCAAGAACAACTGATCACTGATTAGGTTTATTATGAAGTCGGTTAAAGCAGCAACAAAAAAAGTGTAATGCCAATTCTATTTTTAAATGAGAAGAAAGAGAGAGAGAGAGAAAAAGACTTTGTCTATAAATGAGAAGATTTTTGTATTTTTTTGACAAGATTAACTTGCTTGTATCTGGAAACCGTTTATAAATAACTATTAGCCCCATGATGGTGAACCTATGGCACCTGTGCCACCGGTGGCCTGCAGAGCCATTTGTGCCGGCATGCGAGCTGCAGGCAAACTTACCTCACTGTGCATGCATGCGCCTCACAGCTGATTTTCGACTGGTTTGAGGCCTTTTCCGGCCTCCGAAAGACTTGAGGAAGGCTTCTTCAGGCTTTGCAGGCCGAAAACTAGCCCCATTTCATCACTTCCTGTTTTTCCGAAAATACTGGAAGTGACAAAACAGGCCTAGTTTTCAGCCTGCAGAAGCCTTCCTTAAGCCTCTGAGAGGCCGAAAAAGGCCTCAAACTGGCCAAAAATCAGCTGTGAGGCACAGTACAAGTAAGGGTGGGGCAGGGGGGTGGTTGCATGCATGCGTGCATGCATAGGGGGCATGGGGGCACATGCATTGCCTTCTGGGTGCTGGCACGTGAGTACAAGCGTGCAAGTGCATGCACAATTTTTGACACAGGAACCCAAAAAGGTTAGCCACCACTCTTTATCAATATGACAACCAGCTCTTATAATGATGCTTTTATAATTTGAAGACAGCCTCTTATTTTCCTTCTGGGCAACTCCTCCCTATTGAAACAACCAAAATAATTTTTTAATAAAGAGGCTTTGATCAGCAAATATTTTTTTTAGGATTGGCACTAGCTTCTCAAAAATGGTGAATATCCTCTAGGGGACCAAACTTACCACAAGAATTTGGAATGCTTATAAAACTTCTCACAAGCTCACACGGTGCTGATTTAACTAAGCAATTTTTTTTCTCATTTAATTTTCATTTCTCTTAATGTAGAGAGTAAGGAAGATAACATTGACAGATCATCAAAAACACTTACTGAGGCAAAAGGAATGGTCTGTTTTTAAGGTCTTCAGTAAGATAAAATTCGGAAGCAGCTCAGGCAGATACCTCTCTAATTCACTGAAATATAAGGAGGATGGGCTACAACACAATCAGATCTGCAAAGTTTTATTAT